CTCAAAAAAAAAAAAAAAAAAAAAAAAAAAAAAAGAACGGCTCTTCTTTCCCAAGCAGAGGTGCCTTTTCCATGGGTCTGGCTGCACATTGTTGGGGTGGTCACTCTCTGTATTAATATTCTCCTGCTGCTGCTGTAACAAATTGTCACAAACCTTCGTGGCTTAAAACAACGCAAGTTTTAAATTGGCCGGGTGCGGTGGCTCACACCTGTGATCCTAGAACTTTGGGAGACAGAGTTTAGGTGAATCGCTTGAGCCCAGGAGTTCCAGAGCAGCCTGGCCAACATGGTGAAACCCTGTCTCTACTGAAAGTACAAAAATTAGCTAGGCGTGGTGGCGGGCACCTGTAACCCCTGCTTCTCGGGAGACTGAGGCAGGAGAATTGCTTGAACCTGGGAGGCGGAGGTTGCAATGAGCAAAGATTGCGCCACTGCACTCCAGCCTGGGCGACAGAGCAAAAAACAAAAAACAGAAAACCAACAACACAAATTTGTTGTCTTCTAGTTTTCGAAGCCAGAGTCCTAAAATCAGGGCGTGGGTGGCTGTGTTCCTGCTGGACGCTGCAGGGAGAATTCATTTCCTGGCCTTTCTAGCTTCTGGAGGCTGCCTGCACGCTGTGGCTTGTGGTTCCGCTTCACATCACTTCAGTCTCTGCTTCCAGCATCAAATTTCCTTTTTCTCTGACTCCGGCTCTCCTGCCTTCCTCTTACAAAGACTCTAGTGATGACCTTGGGAGTGTCCAGATAATCCAGACGATGCCCACTCTCAGGACTCTTAGCTTAATCTTATCTGCAAGGCTACTGTTGCCATGTGATATAACATTTTGACAGGTTATTGGGATTAGGATGTGGACATCTTTGGGGATGGGGGAACCTGTTTTTCGGGCTACCATGCCGTCCTGCAAGCTGCTGACCTGTAAGAGAAGGCCTGCTTTGATTAGGAGCATGGCTGGGAGTCAGTTGGCTGCCCGCTGAGCTGGCCATCAGGAAGTGCTCACCACCTTTATGAATTCACAGCAGTCCAGGGTCAGTCGGGCCAGGCCCAGAAATACAATTTATCTATCTATCTATGTATCTATCTATCAATCTATCTATCAGTCTGTCAATCTATCTATCATCTATCATCTGTCTATCATCTATCATCTATATATCTATCTATCATCTATCTGTCTATCATCTGTCTATCATCTATTTATCATCTATCTATCATCTATGTATCTGTCTATTATCAATCAATTAATCAATCAATCATCTGTCTGTCTATCTAAAAGAGATAAGGTCTCACTATTCGCCCAGGCTAATCTCACACTCCTGGCCTCAAGGAATCCTCTCGCCTCAGCCTCCCAAACTGCTGGGATTTCAGGCATTGGAAATATAATTTTGATAAAGATCCAAGCCCCAACAGCTGGGCGCTGTGGCTCACACCTGTAATCCCAGCACTTTGGGAAGCCAAGGCAGCCAGATCACTTGAGGTCAGGAGTTTGAGATCAGCCTGACCAACATGGAGAAACCCTATCTCTACTAAAAATACAAACAAATTAGCTGGGTGTGGTGGTGCACGCCTGTAATCCCAGCTGCTTGGGAGGATGAGGCAGGAGAATCGCTTGAACCTGGGAGGCGGAAGTTGTGAAGAGCTGAGATCGAGCCACTGCACTCCAGCCTGGGCAACAGAGCGAGACTCCACCTCAAACAACAACAACAACAACAAAGTATGTCTGATTATTCAGACTCCAGTGCTCAGGATTTGTGTGACCTTCACAGCTCAGGCTATGTTCGTTTCCTCACACAAACTCACACACACACACTTTCATGTGCACATGAATGCTCAGATCCACACACTCAGCCCTACGAGTGCCTATAGCACAGATACCCACAAGCACATTTTGACTCCTGTTCAGTGTTGCACATTCATGTGCAGTGGCTATCCCAGGACTGTCACCCACTTTGCTCCTTAAAGTGGATCTCAGCGCTTCGTGCAGTCAGTGGTGGTGATGTTGGTCTTCAGCTCCAAGGCCCGCAATAGCTGGAGAACTTGAGTCATGATAGGGCTGAGTCTACGTAAGACAGGAGAAGCAGTTTTGGTATTCTTGGTCCCTGGGCCAGAGTTTGGCACTATGTTTCAGGGTGTCCTCTGACCAGCCCATGCACACTGAGGGGGTCATTTGATTCCTGAAAACCCATATGGTTCATGGCTGCCAGGCTTGGTTCACCCATTGGGTCATTCCAGAAGTCCCTGCTGGACGTGGCTTCCACTCCATACTAACACGGTTGCTTAAAGAGGTAACGTTGAAGAATGGGGAAGGCTGGGCGCGGTGGCTCCTGCCTGTAATCCCAGCACTTAAGGAGGCTGAGGTGGGCAGATGACGAGGTCAGGAGTTTGAGACCAGCCTGGCGTGATGGCATGTAGTCCTAGCTACTTGGAGGCTGAGGCAGGAGAATCACTTGAACCTAGAAGGCAGAGGCTGCAGTGAGCTAAAATCGTGCCACTGCACTCCAGCCTGGCGACAAAGCTGTTGTAACCGAGCGAGTTAGAAGGAACGCGCTATGCTCTGAGATCCAAATTAAGAGTCCTTTATTAATTAGCCAGTGATCAAGAGACCGCTCACGCTCAAAATTCTCTCGGCCTGATTATCTTTTATACTTTGATTTAGGTAGGGGAGGGGAGTACCTAGCTGAAGCGGAATTTTACAGAAGCAGAAAAGCAGGTTAGAGGAAGGGATTGTGGGCACAGGTGGTCCAAGAATGGGGGCGATTAGGCTCCTTCTACACAATGATCAAAGGGAAACTTTTTCTTACAATAGTGGGGGGCGGGTATGCCAGGCAGGATGCGGTTACAATGGAGACAAGTGTTAAGAACAGTACACTTCAATGCTTCTAAGTGCAGCATGACCCACTTATGCACCCAAGGGACTGTGGTAGGGAGAGGGAAGCCAGGTTGGAGTTTACAGCTAAGATGGAGTCAGTGATGCTAGCCCAGCGTAGGTTATTACAAAGTGAGACTCCATCTCAAAAAAAAAAAAAAAAATTAAACAGGTGTAGTCCTATGGTTCCAGCTACTTGGGAGGCTGAGTCAGGAGGATTTCTTTCTCTCCCTGTGTTCTCACATGGTGTTGACCACACTCTTGACTTTTATAACAGCAAATTTTGTGCGTTTTAACATGCTTTTATCCCTTAGCAATTTAGTGTAGTTTTGCATCTGTTTGAATTTATGTGAATAGAATTACATCTTCGCTCAGGCTGCCATAATGAAACACCCTGGGCTGGGTGACTTAGCAGTGGACAGTCACTTTCTCACAGTCCTGGAGGCTGCAAGCCCCAGATCAGGGAGCCAGAAAGGTTGGGTTCTGATGATGACCCTCTTCCTGGCCCGCAGATGGCGGCCTTCTACCTGGGTCCCCACATGGTGGCCAGAGGGGAACAGAAACAGAGAAAAATGGAGCGGAAGCTGCCTGGTGTCTCTTCTTATAAGGGCACTAATTCCAATACGAGGGCCTCACCCTCAGGACCTCACCTAACCCAAATCACCTCCCAAAAGCTCCATCTCCAAATGCCATCATTTTGAGGGTTAGGCCTTCAACATACAAATTTTGGAGACACATAAACATTCAATCTTTAACGAATTGTGTGGTTTTGCTTTTTTGCGTATGAATTGTGTTGCTGGGATTTGTTTATTTTGCCACCAGTAGCTATAGTTTGCTTGCTTTCCTTGGTGAATAATATGCCTCCACGTATTTGTCCGGTTTCCTCTTGATGAAAATTCCACCCTTGGGAACAAAGTTTCTGGAAACAATCTCGTGCAATGCCCTAGGGCACACATGACCAACTTCTCCACCTTGGAGTGGAATTGTTGAATCATAGGATGTGCAGATTTAGGATTATAATGTAAAAATAATCTGCACTCATAGCCGGATGTGGTGGCTCATGTCTGTAATTTCAGCACTTTGGGATGTTGAGATGGGAGGAACACTTAAGCCCAGGAGTTCAAGACTCAAGTCTAGCCTGGCTAACATAAGAAGACCCCTTCTCTATTAAAAAAAAATTAACAAGACCAGTCACGTTGGCTCATGCCTGTAATCCCAGTACTTTGGGAGGCTGAGGTGGGTGGATCACCTGAGATCAGGAGTTTGAGACCAGCCTGGCCAATGTGGCAAAACCCTGTCTCTACTAAAAATACAAATATTAGCCAGGCATGGTGGTGGGTGCCTGTAATCCCAGCTACTCAGGAGGCTGAGGCGGAAGAATCACTTAAACCTGGGAGGCGGAGGTTGCAGTGAGCCGAGATCACGCCATTGTACTCCAGCCTGGGCGATAAGAACAAAACTCTGTCCCCCCCCCCAAAAAAAAGAAAAATTGACAGAGAGTGGCAGCACATTCTTGTGGTCCCAGCTACTTAGGAGGCTAAGGTGGGAGGATCACTGGAGCCCATGAAGTCAAGGCTGCAATGAGCCATAATTGCACTACTGCATTCCAGCCTGGGGGATATAGTGAGAACCTGTTCAAATAATCATTATCATCATCATCTGGGCTGGACATGGTGTCTCCTGCCTGATTTCCCAGCACTTTGGGAGGCAGAAACAGGAGGATTGCTTGAGGCCAGGAGTTGGAGACCATCCTAGGCAACATAGTGAGACCCTGTCTCTATTTAAAAAATATATACATATAAATATTTTTAATTAAAAAGATGAAAAAATAAATAACAATCTGCATTTACAAGATAACCATAGTGGCTTCTCTCGCCTTACAGAACTGTCCGAAGTGCTCTGGACCATGGTGATGAACAACGGCCTTCACGTGCGAGGCTGGGGAGGCATCATTGGGGTTTTTATTATTTTTGCCGTATTTGCTGTCCTGACAGTAGCCATCCTTCTGGTCATGGAGGGCCTCTCTGCTTTTCTGCACGCCCTGCGACTGCACTGGTAAGGATGGTTGTCCCATGGAAGCTCGATGTGGTGTTGGGAAAGGGGGGGGGGCTGTGGGGCCAGCCGACTGGGTTCAAATCTTGCCCCGTGTGTGACATCAGCAGCTTACATACCTCTTTGGAGCCTTAGTTCAGTCATCTGTTGGTATAATATTAAATGATGTAATATATGTGTATATATATAGATACACACACACACACACACACTCATTCGTACTTATTCAGAGACTCATATCTACACTAAATGTTAGTTTTCATTTACTCCTTCCCTTTTAGATGATCAGCGTTCATTTGTTATTATAATTGGCTTTAACCAAGTGACACCTCCCAGTATTGGTAAGGTGACATCTGAGATAGGCTCAGAGAAGGCACGCTTAGCAAATCTGGAATGTTTGCCTTTTTTTTTTTTTTTTTTGAGACAGGGTCTCACTCTGTTGCACAGGCTGGAGTGCAGTGGTGTGATCTTGGCTCACTACAACCTCCACCTACCAGGTTCAAGCGATTCTCCTGCCTCAGCCTCCTGAGTAGCTGGGATTACAGGTGTCCAACACCACACCCAGCTAAGTTTTGTATTTTTAGCAGAGACGGGATTTCCCCATGTTGGCCAGGCTGGTCTCAAACTCCTGGCCTCCAGTGATTCACCCTCCTGAGCGTCCCAAAGTGCTGGGATTACAGGCGCGAACCACTGTGCCTGGTGAATCTGGGATGTTTGACTCTTGTTGCTGAGTGCAGGATTTATACCAACAAGGTATGAAAGTCTCAAAAGTGGAAAGAGAAGGAGGGTACCACCAGGAGGGAGACGCTCACAGGAAGCCCTGGACACACACAGATGTATCCAGTGACAATCAGCCGTTGTCACTAGGTTGATGAATATGGAAATGTGTTCGGACCTCTGGTTGTCTTCCAAGTTACATTTCAACCAAGAATTCCGAGTGTGCGGTGCATGCCCTTCAGCTGCACCAGTTTGCCCTAATGTTTTCTTCCTCGCTCTATGGCCTCTGTTCATAAGGAAGCCTTTATACTTCCTGTCCTGAGTGAGGAGGGTCACAGCTTCCCCTGCCTCTGTGATGTCATCATTTTCCTCCATGTCATTGAGGAGATGAACAGAACTCCATAACTTAATAAAACATAAATGATACTACATGATACCAGTTATGTAAGTTACAAAAAATACAGGTTCAGGGTCTTTGTGAGTCTCACAGTTTAGAATTAGATGGAAATGAAAAATGGCATTAGGTAGTGCTGAACAGTGAGGGCATCTTGGCTTGTGATGAGGGTGGGGAAGCTCTGGCACAAGGGAAGAGTTGTTATGCTGTGGCTATGAGCCCACCAGCAGAGAAGCCTGAGGAAGTTAGGGGGAGGGGAAAGGGAAGGTGGTCAGAGACAGGGGAGAGAAGGGCTTAAAAAGTCCTCAGATTCATGGCCTGGGCGCAGTGGCTCATGCCTGTAATCCCTGCATTTGGGGAGGCTGAGGTGGGTGGATCACTTGAGGTCAGGAGTTTGAGACCAGCCTGGCCAACATGATGAAACCCTGTCTCTACTAAAATTATAAAAATTAGGCTGGGCATGGTGGCTCATGCCTGTAATCCCAGCACTTTGGGAAGCCAAGGCAGCTGGATCACCTGAGGTCAGGAGTTTGAGACCAGCCTGGCCAACATGGCAAAACACTGTCTCTACTAAAAGTAGAAAAAATTAGCTGGATGTGATGGCAGGAGCCTGTAATCCCAGCTACTCGGGAGGCTGAGGCAGGAGACTCACTTGAACCTGGGAAGCGGAGGTTGAGGTGAGCCAAGATCGCACCATTGCACTCTAGCCTGGACGACAGGAGAGAAACTCCATCTCAAAAAAAAAAAAAAAAAAAAAAAATATATATATATATATATAATATATATGTTAGCTAGGCATGGTGACATGTGCCTATAGTCCCAGCTGCTTGAGAGGCTGAGGCAGGAGAATTTCTTGAACCTGGGAGGCAGAGGTTGCAGTGAGCCACGATCGTACCACTACACTCCAGCCTGGGCGATGGGGCAAGACTCTGTCTCAAAAAAAAGAAAAAAAGAATCCTTGGGATTCTCATGGCAGCCATCAGCCTGGGTGCCTTCCGTGGCCGACCCTTCGACCTTGTGCTTGATTTTACAAATGCTCTGCTTCCTCCTTCCCTCCACCTTCCAGCCTCTGAATGATGGGTTTCAATCTCCTTTTTCTCACCCCACGCCCTCCCCTCGGCAACAGGGTCGAGTTCCAGAACAAGTTCTATGTTGGGGATGGTTACAAGTTCTCTCCATTCTCCTTTAAACACATCCTGGACGGCACAGCTGAGGAGTAGGCTGAGGCCACACCTCCCGCAGCGGTCTCTGTGCCAATGAAAGAAGTTCAGTCTTGTCTTTGATATCAGCCCGTGCATGGCATTCAATGGAAAGATTGTTCTTGGCTCACCTGAAGCATGAAGCTATGTATTATTTGGATATCAGCCTGTGGATTGGATATGACTTAATCATGTCAGAGAGGAATGACTTTGGCAAGTTATTTTGTCTTCGTGTGGGGTATTAATTCTCAAATAATAAAGTAATTGAGAAATGAGGGGAGAATACTAAACGGATGTGTTCTTGCAATATTTTAAATATTATATTTGAGAAAATAAACATCTGAGTCATTCACTTTTTCCTTAAGATATCTTTATTTGGCCAGGCGCAGTGGCTGACGCCTCTAATCTCAGCACTTTGGGAGGCCAAGGCGGGTGGATCATCCAAGGTCGGGAGTTCGAGGTCAGCCTGGCTAACATGGCGAAATCCTGTCTCTACTAAAAATACAAAAAAGTAGCTGGGCGTGGCAGCAAGGGCCTGTAATCCCAGCTACTCCAGAGGCTGAGGCAGAATAGCTTGAACCCTGGGGGTGGAGGTTGCAGAGAGCTAAGATCGCACCACTTCACTCCAGCCTGGGTGACAGTGAGACTACATCTCAAAAAAAAAAAAAAGAAAAAATTATTCCATGCGATTTAGTATCGACAATTATAGGCCAAAGCTGAACAACAGAGCTACACACACTAATCCCAGAGAAGGATCATGCGAATTCCATTTCCTCATTTCCTCCTTCCTCAAACACCTTTTTCCCTTGTCGAGGGCTAAGTATTACAAGCTTAGAAACTTTCTCATGAATTTTCACTGAGGAAGAACAGATCATGTTCTCTGTGTGGAGGGAGGGCCTCCCCCGTGTCTCTCTGGATTGCTAAATCTTGTGAAATGAAGTGTGGTAACATGATATCATCATTTGTTTACTGTCCATGCACGTTATGCTGGAGAAAGAGATTGGGAGACAAGTTTGGAAATTGGTGTGCCGGGAGGGAGACACCTGGCTCTCTGGCTAACAGGCGGTCTGGCCTGTTACTCTCTGGCTCTGTGGGCCCCAAAGTCATTAGTCATTTCTTAAGTACCTGCACTAGCAAACTCCTAAGAGCCTGATAAGATATATATATATATATATATGTTTGCATATATAGAGAAAAAGGTAGGATCTCACTCTTGCCCAGGCTGGAGCGCAGTGGTATGATCACAGCTCACTGCAGCCTCAACCTCCGGGGCTCAAATGTTGCTCCCACCTCAGCCTCCTGAGTAACTGGAGCTACAGGTATGTACACCCTGCCCAGCTAATGTTTTTTAGTTTTTTGTAGAGGTGCTATACCCATAGCATAGGGGGTCTCACTATGTTGCTCAGGCTGGTCTTGAATTCCTGGGCTCAAGCAATCCGCCCACCTCAGCCTCTCAAAGTGCTTGGGTTACAGGTGTGAGCACCTGGCCTCACTGACCATTTTGTCTGAATAGCCTGTATCCATGTGGATTATTATCTTTATGGTAACTATACTGGTAGAATTAAGTATAATTATCTTTTTTGGTAGTGTTTTTATAATTTGTTTTGTTTTGTTTTGTTTTTTGAGACGGAGTTTTGCTCTTGTTGCCCAGGCTGGAGTGCAATGGCGCGATCTCGGCTCACCGCAACCTCCGCCTCCTGGGTTCAGGCAAT